CTGAGGGGTTGAAAAGAAAGGTTGTTGATGATTATTGATGGTGAGTTACGAGAGATTTTAAGGTGGGGGAGAGGGTGGTGGTGGTAGAGTGATTAAGAAAGGTAAATGAGTAAGGATGGAATGAGAAGAGATATTGGAATGATGGCATTAAATTAAGAGGTGGGTCTAGAGAAGTGTGAGACAGGTGAGACAGGTGAGACAGGTGAGACAGGTGAGACAGATGAGACAGTGAGACAGGTGAGACAGATGAGACAGGTGAGACAGGTGAGACAGATGAGACAGGTGAGACAGATGGGACAGGTAAGACAGATGAGACAAATGAGACAGGTGAGACAGATGAGACAGGTGAGACAGTGAGACAGGTGGAGACAGGTGAGACAGATGAGACAGATGAGACAGGTGAGACAGATGGGACAGGTAAGACAGATGAGACAGATGAGACAGGTGAGACAGATGAGACAGATGAGACAGGTGAGACAGATGGGACAGGTAAGACAGATGAGACAGATGAGACAGATGAGACAGATGAGACAGGTGAGACAGATGAAAGTGGTAAAAAGGATTCTTGCCTGTGCTAAGGAGTCCTGTGAACTGTGGGAGGAGGAAGAGACCCAGATGGATGTAAAGGGGAGGAAGAGACCCGGATGGATGTAAAGGGGAGGAAGAGACCCGGATGGATGTAAAGGGGAGGAAGAGACCCGGATGGATGTAAAGGGGAGGAAGAGACCCGGATGGATGTAAAGGGGACGATACACGGGGTTACTCTATCCTTGGGGTGAAGAGCCACTTTTGGTCACTTAGAAAGGATGGACTTCAGAAGATCATTAGAGCTGAGAGGGGTGAAGGGGCATCTGGTGGCTGTAAAGTATTATAGTATTATATTTTAGACGATATTTAAGGTCATATAAGCAGGTCAGGACACAAGACACAGGTGAGTAGCTTGTAAATTGGAGGTAAATTATAGAAGTATAGGTTTTTATGACACAATATAGATTTTATATTTAGATTATTGTCTCCTGTGTGTTAATATTTCCAAATAAGTTTCTCAAAATAAAAGACAAATTTTACATTGAAAGTGAAAGTAAATCCCATAACTCAGGTGAAAGTAGTGAAGATACAGTACACTTAGTAATCTGTATACCAGGAGGCGGCGAATCAAATCAAATCACACACAGATACACAAACAAACAAACACACACACACATACACATACCCATCCACACACACACACACACAAACACCCACCCACCCATCCATCCACACCCACACAACCCCCTTCATACACACACTAGTTTAGTTTACATATTGTTCTTGTAATGAGCGAGTCAGTCATTTTTTGCACGAGGTAAACTTGGCAGCGGCCTGACGTGCACAATCACAGTTATTTATTACGTCATTTAACGCTGCTGACGACAATTAACGCAACACACGACTCTGGAATTTATCAGAACTCTGGCCTGGCCATTAATATACAGTGATATATGTGTATAATATACGAAAATATACCAGTGTATAGCCGGGCAGATGAGAGGGATGACTTGACATAAATTAATTTTAAGCATATTATTTTTTTTCTCTTCCTCGCATAAAACAAAAGCAAGACCTCGCATAAAACAAAACCTCGCATAAAACAAAACCTCGCATAAAACAAAACCTCGCATAAAACAAAACCTCGCATAAAACAAAAGCAAGACCTCGCATAAAACAAAACCTCGCATAAAACAAAACCTCGCATAAAACAAAACCTCGCATAAAACAAAACCTCGCATAAAACAAAAGTAAGGTTTGACATAAATCAAAAACAAAATCTGACAAAACAAAAACAAAACCTTACATAAAAAAAAATAAAACTCACAAAAACAAAGACTCAAATAAACCAAAAACAAAACCTGACATAAAACAAAAAACAAAACCTAACATAAAAAAAAACCTCACATAAAACAAAAGCAAGAGTCTATTTACTAAGATGTTTTACCTCTTGTTCTTGCTTAAATACTTTATTACTTTATTTTCAACAAGGAGAAGAAGAAAAAGTTTACCAGAAATATTACCTCACACTTGAACTGTCCTCTTGTAGGTCGAGTGTTACCGAAAGGAGTCAGTGTTGATACTTTCTTCTTTACAGTTGGTCGTGGTGTTGACGTTCCGTTTTCATTCTTCTTGTTTTGATTTTTGTCTCTGTATCGATTCGATTGTTTAAATCTCGTATTAAAAAAAGGTAAATTTATATATTAAAACTCAGAAAAAAATATAGCAGTTACGAGAGTATAGAATAAATCGTGTACAGTTTGTCGTCTGGGTGACTAGACCAGGGATGTCCTCAGCTCTCCAGTACTGAGACCAGGACACAGTTTACAAGTAGTCTTATCGTTCATGACTAAGAGTGTGAGTTTCGTTCCTGACACCCATTAGATAAACAGTCTAGATTATTCAGGTTTTAAATTAATCTTCATTTTTTGCAGACTAGGAATGATAAGTTTGGACTCTCTCTCTCTCTCTCTCTCTCTCTCTCTCTCTCTCTCTCTCTCTCTCATTCACTATTTCTATCTCTTTCTCTTTTCTCTCTATTTCTCTTTCTATCTCTTCACACATGATGACACGAGTTACATTTACATTAGTTACAAATCATACTGTGTAAATGTAAGCAAGATATCTGGAGTACTCAGCCTAAAGTACTCAGGTGTAGTTGAAAATAAATTCTAACTCGTTGTGGCACTAGTACTTATTGTGGCACAGTAACATGAGTGCCTTGAGTATTGGTATATACTCATTAAATTAACATCAAAGGTGAATGTAAGGGTGTGTTGGGTACAGGGTATCACAGACTACCACCACCCTTAGGCAGTAATTAGTTGGTGTTCTGGCCAGTAAAAATCTAGGGGGAGGAGGAGGAGCGGGAGGAAGAGAGTATAAAGGGGGAGATGGAGGAGGGGGAGGGTCAGGGATAGGAAGAGGAGAGGAGGAAGAGGAGGGAGGAGGAGGAGGAGGAGGAAGATGGGTAGGAGGATGGGGGAAGGGGGAAGAGGGAAGAGGAGGGGAGGAGGGAGAGGGGCAGGAGGAGGGTAGATGATAGTCTTTCATGTTTACAACTTTTATGATAATGAGATACATAAGGTATGTAGAGTCTCAAGTGAGTTTTCTTATATACATACAAGTTAATACTCTGAAACACATTATATACATATATGATATGAGAAATAAAGATAATTACCAATTCAACTTAACACAACAGGCTGACTGTAAAGTAGCTGCTTTGGCAGTCAACTGTCGTCCATGCAGAAAACATGGCCAGTCCAACGTAGTTGTTCATGGATAATGGTAGCCTCGATGCTCCTACAGTTGGTGTCAACAAGAATACTGGCATTTCTTCTCTTGTCTTCCCAGCGAACTCGGAGGATGGAACGTAGACTACGTTGCTGCAAGTTTCAAGTGCTTTGAGGTGCCTCCTGTACGTGACCCATGTCTCACTGCCATATAGCAGGGTGGTGAGGACCACTGCTCGATTTCGGAATCTGCCAAAGGCTTGAGATGCACATTTGATCCGCTGCTGAATCTCTTCATCGATGTCTGCGGTGGTGGACAGGTGGGAGCCGAGATACCGAAAGTGGGCAACATTAGAGAGGGTAGTACCGTTAAGCTGGATGGATGGTGGAGGTGTGGCTGAACCAGGGGCAGGTTGAAAGAGAACCTGAGTTTTACGTGCATTCCCCTCAAGGCCGAAGTGTGCATACACGTATGTATAGGTGTTCAGGATCTCCTGTAGGTTGTGTTCAGAGTGAGCAACAAGGGTGAAGTTACTGAGTTCAGTAATGGAAGCTGCCGACACCTTTGTTCTTGCCTGGAGTCGTCTTATATTGAAAAGACCCCCCTTCACCCGGTACTCGATGTTCACCCCGCTGGTTAAATTGGCACTGGCACGAGTAAGGAAGGCAGCCAAGACGATGGAAAAGAGAGTTGGTGCCAGTACACACCCTTGTTTAACCCGTTTGTATGGGTAAGAACTCTGACTGAGTGCCGTTGTGCAGGACACTGCCGTTCATGCCATCGTGGAGTTGCCTCACAATGACGAGGAATTTTGGTGGGCAGCCAAAACGGCTGAGGGTCCACCAGAGGGCTTCCCTGTTGACAGAGTCGAAGGCATCGGTTTGGTCGATGAAAGCCATGTACAGATCACGACGCTGTTCTCTGCACTTTTCCTATATCTGGCGGGCAGCAAAGGCATTGTCAGTGGTGCCACATGATGGTCAAAAACCACATTGAGATTCTCGGAGGAAGTTTTCCGCCTCAGGACAAAGTCTGTTTAGGAGGACTCTGCCGATAATCTTGCCAGCTACGGAGAGCAGCGAGATCCCACGGTAGTTGCCACAGTCGACCGGTCTCCCTTATTCTTATAAATATTGTCAAGGGAGGCGTCTTTAATAGCCTGGGGGATTTCCTCCTTTTCCCATATATTCTCCAGGAGAGTGTGTGGACGGCTGGTAAGCAGAGGTCTTCCTGCTTTATACACCTCGGCTGGGTTTCCATCAGGCCCTGAGACTTTGTTATTCTTCATCTGTTTGATGGCAGTAGCAACCTCATCCAGGGATGGAGGATAGCTGAGGTGGTTCAGCTCTGGATGCTGAGGGATCTGCTGGGTAGTCAGGACATCCACATCGGTGTTTCGGTTGAGCAATGAATGGTAGTGCTCTTTCCAGCGCTGAAGGAGGCCTTCATCATCTTTTGGGGGTATAGGGGTTTTGATGATGATGATGAGAGGTATGATGAACTGGATGATGGCTGTGTGTGAGTTGATTTATGTGGTGAGGCAGGAGAGCAGGCTGCAACCACACATCTTGGCTCTCCCTTTTCCTGATCCAGTGGTGCAAGTGTTGCAACGACTGGGGAGAGGGAGAGTCGCAATGGACTGCCGATAGCCCAGTTTGTTGGGTTTCGTCTTAGTAGCCAGACCATCAGGCATTGCCTTCGTCCGCCGGTGTAGTGGCTGGGTTTCCATGGTGGTC